CTCTGTCTTCCTAATCTTTGGTTTCCCTACCTGTAAATTCATGATAATGTTAAAATTATCTACCTTACAGTGTTGTTGCTAAGTACCAAATAAGAAAATAAATGGTGGAATCATCTCTACAGGATATACACTTGTTTTTTCCTGCCATATGTATCCTTTCTGGATTTTGCTAAATGCAACCTGACATGTCAGTTTTTAAAATGAACAATTAATTTTTAAAAGGCCACATATTTCTATATATATTCAAATGTAATAGTGATAACAATAACAATAGTATTTCCTGAGTCATGCAGACACCTGTGTTAATTTAACTCTTCTACTTGACCGTATTGAATTAGGTTTACCAGTGAACAGGAAGAACAGATTCTATCTAGTGTTGACTGACTCACCCATTCCTGTAACCACATGCAAATTACCTAATCTTTGAAGGTTGTATCCCCTACTTTATAAAGACAGATAGCAATTCTTCCTGTCTACCGGCCTTGGAGATCTATTGTGAAGACTATCCATTGAACAATAGCATCGTTCCTTGGAAATACAACTTTTATATCTTTTGGCACAATGAGATAGTTAAATCATCCTAGCAGTAAACCACCAAAGTGGATACAGGAGACAGGAGGATGGTACACCACTGTAGTCAAGAGCATAGGTTTGGAGTCAGATGGACCTAGATTAATTCCCAGTTTTGCCATGTATTGCCTCTGAGCAAATAATGTTATCAACTGAAACTCAACTTCCTCATATATAAAATGGGTATAATAATATAACCATAGGTTGTTTTAAAGACTAAACACTCATGATGTTTTAGAACAGTAGTTGGCACATAGAACATGTAAAACAAATGACGGCAATTATTATTTTGTTCTGCACTGACTCACAGTTTGACTTTAAACAAAGTGCTAAATTCTTCTATATCTGCTTTTGCAACTTTGAAAAAGAGATATCATCTGACATCTTCAGATGAAAGATTTCAGGATAGAATTTAGTCATGATACGACTTTGGATTCCCTTAAGCTTAGTTCTATTATCTGAGAATTACTATTCTAAAAATATCAAATTGCCCAACCATGCAGACCATGTATGTAAGTAGGAGAAGTTTTGGCTTGCAGATTATGGCATGACTTGGTGTCCCTATACCCATTTTATTTTCTCAACCTCTTAAAACTTTCCTATTCTCTAATCCATTCATTTCAAACATATGCTTGAAACTGTGAGAGCATTCTTCCTAATTCTCACCCACCATCTTCGATGAAAATATGTCTGAAGGAGTGTGTTTTGAAGAAGTTCTTTGTGCAGTTCCTGTAAAACCTAATGCTGACCAAGCCATGAAAGGCAGCCAGAGTACCCATTTCACCACCTTCCATCTTAGAAGACCTGCTCCACAGCTGCCCAACTCACCCCATTCTCAAGTACTAAAGCCACCAGGCATACTTATGAATCTCAATGCTGATATTGAAGCACATGATGTTGCCTCTTTTCTTGAATGTTTCTATTTATTCCCTCCTTGTATTGAAGCAATTTTTGGAGGAAAGCAGACAACAATGAAAAAATAACAATAAGGTCCATCAAGACAGTTACAGTTACTACAGACTGATGAATCCTTCCATGATATGCTGCACTCAGTGAACTCGATTTTCATGCAATAGCAAATGATCCTTTTTAGAAAACGGTGATGATGCAATTGAGGTGCTATACTCTCAGTCACTGATCACCTTTGAGATAGTGTAGAGAAGTTAGGTCACATTTTCACCTTGTTTAAATATAAAGACAGTTTTAAGACAATTAAAAAAGGGCAGTCCATGCATTCTTTAAAATGTTTCTAAAAACCCATCAATAAATGTAAAATTATACCACCACCCTTCCTCCCTCAGCATGTACATACATTATTTCACATCAATCTGTATATGATCTGTTTCTTTGCCTAGACACTGTATAGCCATCTATGCCTACACATACATACGCAATTTCTCCAGGTCTGTATCTGTGTGTGTGTGTGTGTGTGTGTGTTTTCCTTTTCTCTGTCGGAATGTAAACTTTCCAAAGACTCTTCCTTTAGCTCCCCACCCATGATAGACAATGTATTCCAGTAGCAAGACCATAGACGTTAGAGCCAGAAAGGCCAAGATCAGATTCTAAGATTCAACACTTACTAATGCTGGACAGCCTGAGCTGCACTGATTTCATCTTTTAAAGGAGCGATCGCAATAAGTGTTTCTCAAGGTATTTCCAAAATTAAATGAGATAGCATTTTACAAAATGTACAATACATAATAGGTGCTCAACAAGTAGTTTTCTTCCACACAGAATTTAATATACAATGAGAACTCACTAAAAGTTGTTACATGGACCAGGACAGATCATAGCTGATGGAAGTGAGGCCTTCTCAAAACTTGGAGCAAGATCCCATAGCAGCTCTGGTCCTAAACCTCAATATGATGACCCTTTAGTATCACTACTGACTGACTTCAAGTGGAGGCGGGTAGGGGGGATATGCTTGATTGGTTTTATATTAAGGTTTCCCTGTAAATGGATTTTTAATCTAAAACAAGACCTTCCCTGTTAGACATAAACTCCCCAAATCATGTTTTATCCTCCCTTTTGTTTCCCATACCTCCTGAAGTTATCTTCTCTTCCTTAATCATCACTACAATGCAAAATGAATGCTCTTCTCCCTTGGAGGGAAAGGTGACTAGGGAGAGATCACCACCCATTAAGATATAATTATACCAATTTAAATAAAACAAAGGGCTTCTCTTTTAAAAGCTGACCTATTTCATTTCTGCTTTAATTCCTTTCTGTCTTACATGTTCCTTTCTTTTTTATGGCTTTACACTGTATCAGTTCTTCTCAAACTTTAGTGTGACTAAGAATTACCTGTGTAACTTTTAAAAATATGATTCCCATGACTCAACCAAAGATTCATGAGAATTTCTGGGATGAGAACTAAACTTTTCCATTTTTAATAAGCACCCAGTGAATCTAATGGAGGGGGTCCATGGGCCACACACAGACTGAGATGTAGCTCTGACCCTACTGAGTAAAAATTAAAGTTGTCCATTTTTAAAAATTTGAATATTACTCATTTCATCTTTGTGTATCTAAATTTGTGTAGATATTGTCTACAAGTTCAGTCTGCTCATCCTTAATTCTTGTCAGTGGTTGCTGGTGACTACAGTCAGCATATATACCCATCACCAATAAATATTTATTTAATAAATATATTCTTCTCTTCCCAAATCTCTTTCCTATAAACTTATTCTTGATAAAGTTTTCTTTAACCTCTGCTCTGTGTGTGTGTTTTTATAAACTCCATGTGTTACTCTCTTTGTGCTGAAAGAATAGTAAAAAATAAGAGTTTGGGGGGAATGGTAGCATATGAAGAATAATATTTACCTGGTCCAAATTTCTTCTTACCTTTAAATTCTAAAATGGTGGGTTCTCATTTAGAACAGGTGAAGTGAGGGAGAGGGCTCTTGGAAATTTGGCTAAAGAGGAAGGAATGTGCCATTTGATAAACCGCCCCCCAGTGTTTCTTATATATCTTCCCAGTTATGAGCAATGTCCTTAAAAAGAAATAGTCTACATATTTCAATTATACCTCTTTCTTCAAAGCATTCCAGTTGGTGCACTTGGTCCTGCAAATGTGCATAGTAAATTTAATCCCTTTCCACTCTAGTCCATTCTCTTAACATCTCCTAGGTTGACAAACATAGATATGCTCCACTTTTTGTACAGTTTTAGATCAGGAAGGAGTTTTTTGTTTGTGTATTATTTTTTTCCTTGAGAGGTATTTTCCTTCTACTCTGAAGTAGGACCAAAAAATAGGTACATCTTTTGCTTCACATTAGAGAGTACACTCAGAAAAATGCATTCCAATACCCCCACATAATAACTACTCTACACAAATTCTAGACTCACTCATATCTAGCATAGACAAAATCTGAAATCCATTTAGTATCTTGAGGTTGATAGAGATTATATGTCTAAATAAAATCATTCTTTTCTATAGTACTATTCTTAAAAGATAATGTAGTAACAAAGGATAGGACAGAAAAAGCATCACAGACTATGGAGAAGTGCTCACAAAAGGCAAAGACCCTTGAGAAGTCTGACTAAATTTGTTATGTTGGCAGCTCTTAGTTGCTTCATTAACATGTACAGAAGAGTATTAAACTCTTCCTAACAACTATATGGAACTTTCTATCAATGACAGAGCCTGAGTGCTTTTCACTATTAAGATTCCACTGGAACTTTTACATTTTCCAAACTATTTTCTTCTCAAACTAGAAGTTTTAAAAAAATGATATGCCAGAATATGAATTAGAGAAAATAGAATTTTAATCTGAAGATAAAATTATTTTTCACAGCCCAAACTAGGACATGGAAACCTTATTACTGCTTAGTTTCTAACTTTGAATGAAAACAACCTCAAAATAATTATGACTTATCTGTTAGAGAAGTGACTGTGGCCAGGTACATCATTGGGTTTATTTTTTAAATCAACTATAATAATTTAATCATACTATCTTCTTAAATTATTTCTTACTCTTTCAAAACATCTATAGTTTTTAAAATTTAACTATTTAAACAGAAGTGAATGTAATTTTGATCTGCATGACCTCAGACTTATTTTTTTCTCATGTATACCTCTGAAAATAAGAGTATTTTCCCAATAAAACAAAGTCCAAGCTAAAAACACATTCTATTCTTGAAACTAACTAGCTAACTAAAAGACAGCTGTCAAACCTGATGTACCTTTATCTTTTGTTGAACGCATCTGAAAGTATATAAAAAAATATTTTGGGATGAAACCTAAGATGACAGGAAACACTAATATAGAAAGAAGAGAAATGTTATTTCTTAACATAATTTCATGTTAAATATCAAAAGTATGTTTCTATATTAAACAAATAGTAAATTAAAGATCTACAGATGCCTTGGTGTGGTTCATGCCATTTTAAACTACAAGTACACTTAAGACAAAAGAAAAGGGAACTCACGGATACATTGCTGACCAGCAGGGAAGAGTCCTGTGGAGACCAATGTCTGCAGTCAAGTGTGTGCATCCAGACTGTATCAGCAATTTTGTGGGCTGGATTAAGGTGAAGAAAGAAGTCTCTAATGATCTAAATAGAACCAGTCTGACAAGTCTTGACTAGTGTAGTGGGAACTGTGTGTGTGACTATTAGGACAAAGTCAAATTTTATACAGAGCAGGAGAACATAAATAATTTATACGCACTTTCTAGGAGTGGGAACTTAAAAGCTATTGCCTTAAGATTATGCTAGCTTAAAAGTGTTCATGTAAACCAGAAATTTTATAAAAGTCAGATTTTTTTTTAAAGATTTTATTTATTTATTTGAGAGAGAGAGAGATAGAAACAGCACGAGAGGGGAAAGGGTCAGAGGGAGAAGCAGGCTCCCCGCTGAGCCGGGAGCCCGATGTGGGACTCGATCTCGGGACTCCGGGATCATGACCTGAGCCGAAGGCAGTCGCTTAACCAGCTGAGCCACCCAGGCGCCCTAAAAGTCAGATGTTTAAATCTAGAAAGAAATCTTAAAATCATATTGCTTAACTTCCTTATGTTTTCAGTGAAGAAACAGATTTAAGTTAAATGATGGTCAAAATCATATAGTTTATGACCCACCAAACCAATAGTAATACCTATATTTTTAAAATTTGTCTAACATTCCCTCTACTCTACCCTGCATATAATGAAAGTTTTCCTTTGGTATTGACTAAAAGTCAGCAGCTGAAAATACAATAAAGACTAGAAAAGTATTAATATCTTAAAATTATGTGACATCATTCTTCTGGGAAAGTCAAGTAGTTTATAAATATTAACCCCCAATTGAGACAGTATATTTCTTTCGTTATACTGGAGACAAGCATATCAGCCAACACTGAGTCATTACTGTCTTACTTCTGAAGAGTAAAAATGTGTGTTCATACATGCATATGCAGATATCTGTGTATTTGTGTCAGGCACAATCCTCAAATCACCGTCCTTAATCCCCATAAATGATATTAGGTGTTTCTCCTCTGGGCTCTCATGGTATCATAACCCTTACTGCATTGAAGTAGAATTTTTTGTTTACTTGTATCTCAACTCGACTAGACTGAATTCTTAGCAGACAGTAACCCTATTCTTAGTATATATGGGATGACAAAAATATGCATGGAAAGAAAACAAGAAGGAAGGAGGAAGTGGATACATGTGACCAGTTCTAAAAATCACCATAAAGAAGACAGATTGGTACTCATTTATTTATTTATTTGTTCATTCATTCATTCATTCATTCATTTTTTGGAACTGTTGAATATTACCGTACTGTTGAATATCCATTTAGCCAATGGCTCATCTAAACAGATGCTGAAGTTGGGACCCATGGTAAATGTGCGGTTAGGTTACCAAGAATTAGAATCACTCTCTGGCAGTAACCAAGAAGCCTGTATGTTGGGACACACTGTTCTTGGGACTAGAGAGGGCATCAAATGTACCCTTTTTAATTTGGCCAATAGATCACTTGAGACTGAAGAATAAATAGCATGTACATTTACTTGAAGTTATCAAAACATACAGTATCAGGTTTCTTTCTACTAACTTGAAAGTACAATTTAGCCAAAAATAAAGAGGCAACAACAGTGAAGTAAAAACTTCCAGGTTATGAGATTAAATTGTTCCTATTATACAGCCTTTAAAAAGTGAAAGCCTCACTAATAAAATGTTAATACTGGCTTAATAATGCTATATTCTATTTTATCTCACATTTAATGAAAATATTGATTGTATTCTTGTTTTCAAGGAAAAACAGATCCCTCTTCAGTGTAACTTTGGGCCAAAACCTGGTCAGACTCATTTTAACAGAATCTCATGACTTTTTTCTTTACTAAAATCCAGATTCCAAACTCAAATAAATTCCTTATACAGTCCTATGGTTGTGTATACTTAAGGTTATGTACACCTAAAGTTGTAGATGCAGAAAATGAGAGGGCTTACATGATTTTTTAAAATCCTTGTGGATATATGCTAGAATTATAGAAAACCAGAGATTAAGGATATGCTAATAGAGGATGAGTGAATGTCAACCAAAAGATAATCAATCCTAAATACAACCTTCTTATGTTAATGGCTTTCACTCAGGCTACTCAAAGAGCATTTGTGTGTGTTATCAAATTTCATGATATTACTTATACTTTAGTAGACGCTTGAAGAATAGAGAAAGAAGGAAGAATCAAACATTAGACTAGGGCGCCTGGGTGGCTCATTTGGCTGGGCGACTGCCTTTGGCTCAGGTCATGATCCTGGAGTCCCGCGTCGGGCTCCCTGCTCGGCGGGGAGTCGGCTTCTCCCTCTGACCCTCTTCCCTCTCATGCTCTCTATCTCTCATTCTCTCTCTCTCAAATAAATAAATAAAATATTTAAAAAAAAAAACAGTAGACTAAATTATCCACCAAATGGAGCATTTCATGCATTTAGGTATTTCTTTAACAGTTATTCTTAGTGTTGTGGGATACAAAAACAAAGTCAATCATTTTTAAGTTTATTGATCTCTAAGAGGGAAAAGAGGATTTTAGAGCAGAAGTTTGTCTTTCATTCAAATATTTATTTTCTTGATTGCTGTTTTTTCTAAAATCATATATTTTATTTTGTAATCCTTTTGCCCTAAACTGGTGTAAAGAAAATGTATTCAAAGAGTTATCTTCCTCTTCATGACTGAGATCAGGGCAGTCTGTCTTCCCTGTGTCCTTCCGTGCGATGTGGAAGCAGAGTCAGGAGGAATATATTTGTGGACTTGAGTCTCTTGGAAACCCACAGTAGATACGTTACATTGCATAACTAGTAAAATAACAAGTTGACCACAGATATTTTTACTAGCCAACAAACTATTCCACAGTCCTTCCTATAGCAACGTCATAGCAATGAGGCATCTGATGGCCGTAAGTATGAGTGTGCTAAAGAAGGAGAGTGCCAGTGTGGCTAGTCATGGATGATTTTTATCATTGTTTAAATATCCCCTAGTTTGAATCAAGTTCCTTTATGCCTGATAATATATGGATGCCTATGCAAAATAATATAATTAATTTATGGAAGCCCTCAAAGTTATACCTAGGGTATGTAATGCTAAAACAATCCTTTTATTGGTCAGTTTATTGGGTTGTGCTTTCCAGACTGACCAAAGTTAAACCAGTGAATGAGCGAGTTATCAGAGTAGACACAGCTATTGTCATTTGTGGCTCCATTTCCTCCTATCATGTATTGTTTTGAAGGTACTCATGCACCTTAATTTTTTCAAGCTGAGAAAACAAAGAACATCCATATAATTAACCTTTGGACTCTATCCAGTAGGAAGAGATCATGTAAGAATGTTGCTGGAGAACCAGCCATCCACTGACTCTCCTTTCCTCTGTCTTACTTTCTTAGCCAAAATGTGATTTATTTTTCCCTAACCTATTGGCACCTGTCTCTGAAACCCTTCCTTTTGCCCCCGTAAGCCTTTTCTATTGAGTGTCATCATGCTGTAGTTGTTTCTCAGCCCATCTCATCCACTACATTTTCACTGGAGAAAACTACATCAGCTAGCCCAGCCTTGTCTTTTAACCCAGTATTGCACTCAGTAGGGTTCCTGGTATTGCTGCTAGGCTGCAGCCACAGGTAGAGGGAAGAGGCAAATGAGAATAGATGACTTCCTGCACTTTCAACCAGTTTGGAGAGTGCCACTCCCACTCTGAACATCCAGCCTTTCTCTGCAAAGGGTGCACTGTACTTGAAGCAAAGCAGTCAAACACAAATGCTATAGAAGGAACTGTTCACCAGAGAAATTTCTGGTCCTTCCCTTTCCCTTAACTGCATCAGGGAAGAATCCTTATCTCTAACTTGTTTTTTTGAAGTGTTTTTGAGTAAGGGGATGGGGACAAGAAATCTGTCAGGTAGTTAAGTAGGCAAGAAATCTTATTAATCCAGTTTTGTTCAAGAGTTGCTTATCCAGATGATTTTTTTAAAGTCACATTAGTTTCACAAAATCCTTTTTTTTCTTAAATTACTTGAATAGGAGAGAATTTTATATAACGATTTTTATAAGAGCATAACTTTGAAGCTAATGTTGGTGATGGATTTTTTAGGAGATATGTTTATGTGATCAAGAATGTATACTTCCACTTGTCTAGCTTGATCCACAGCAGAACTCAAAGTACCAACAGTGTAAGAGGGTTCCCTTTCTCCACAACCTTTCCAACATTTGTTGTTTCTTGCCTTGTCAATTTTTGCCATTCTAACTGGTGTAAGGTGGTATCCAAACCCTTTTACGCTGTTGGTGGGAATGCAAGTTGGTACAACCACTTTGGAAAACAGTGTGGAGGTGCCTCAGAAAATTAAAAATAGAGCTACCCTATGACCCAGCAATTACACTACTGGGTATTTACCCCAAAGATACAGATGTAGTGAAAAGAAGGGCCACATGCGCCCCGGTGTTCATAGCAGCAATGTCCGCAATAGCCCAACTGTGGAAAGAGCCGAGATGCCCTTCAACAGATGAATGGATAGAGAAGATGTGGTCCATATATACAATGGAATATTATTCAGCCATCAGAAGGGATGAATATCCAACTTTTCCATCAACATGGGTGGGACTGGAGGAGATTATGCTAAATGAAATGAGTCAAGTAGAGAAAGTCAATTATCATGTGGTTTCACTTATTTGTGGAACATAAGGAACAGCATGGAGGACATTAGGGGAAGGAAGGGAAAAATGAAGGGGGGGACATCAGAGGGGGAGAGGAACCATGAGAGACTATGGACTCCGAGAAACAAACTGAGGGTTTTAGAGGGGTGGGGAGTGGGGGGGTTAGCCCAGTGATGGGTATTAAAGAGGGCACGTACTGCATGGAGCACTGGGTGTTATACAAAAACAATGAAGTGTGCTTCACTACATCAAAAATTAATGAGGTATTGTATGGTGACTAACACAACATAATAAAATAAAATTTAAAAAAAAGAACTAAAAGTACCTAGTTAGAGGTACCCATGTTCCCTAGATGAATTTTCTGAAATACC